CTAAGTACAGTTGGGGTAGGTGTTAGCTCGGAATTGATGACAATTCATAGGTGGGCATTGATGTATAAAGTGGGGGTTTTTAATATTTTGAATATTTATAGATCTGCAGTAAAATTCAGAAATCTGCATTGGACCTGTTGTATTTTCCTTTTTTTATTTTACTTGAAAAAAAAAGAGAATTTCGCGGTATTCATTGTTGGAGTTGGAGTTGTATTCTCTGTTATCTCGGCTTTTCTATATATATAGGATACTACCTTCCACTCTTCATAGGTTGGATTTTTCTTGGCTCATTCAAGGAAAGAGGAATTCGTCCTCCCACGAATTGCTATTGGTCCAAGTCAACTATTATGCCAACTTGGATTAAGAGCCAGATAACGGTGGCCTCACCTGTTAGTTTTTCCCACCGTTATTTCATAGAGATATTTCTTTAGAAGAATTCAAATCAAAATAAAACTTCATACGGGACTTCCCATCTCCAAGCAAAACCCTATTACAGAGCAATTTTTTTGAGGATTTTCGAGCTCTCAAAAGTTTAAATATAACTTTTTCCAATGATTTTTCATCTACTCTAATAAAACATCCATCGGTTATCCATCTACTTTGCCAACGCCATGTTTGATTTTTTTTCTGTTGTTTAATTTATTTTCTTGATTTTTTTACTAGAATGTCTCATTCAACCTTTGTATAGTTAAATTGGTATAAGTGATACTTGGTTATATAAAACGGAAATCTGCAAATATATTGTTGGATTTATAATTACAGTTCCACTAATTAATTTAGTTAGTCAATTAATTTAATTTATTAATTAATTAATAAAAAATAAATGTTCAAAGTAAAAATAATACAACCATATGTGAATTCTACCTTTTTCTAGTGTTTTCAAACCATCGTTGACTCAGACAGTCAGACCGTTTGGCCCAGGAACCGTTCGTGCTACCAATTCTGTTTTACTCTCTAATCCTTGGCCAAAAACTGTTGAATTGGTCAGTAACTTGCTAACCCATGCAGTGGAACTGTTGGCCCATTCAATGGATTTTGGCTATTTTATTTTAATTATTTTTTTTTATTTTTAAGTTGGAACAAGTTGTCCATTTGAATGGAACAATTGAACCGTTGACCCAGAAATCGGTGTCCAGAAGTTCCGATTCCGGGTTGGTTTTTAAAACCTTGATTTTTTTTTCTCTTGTTTACTTGTGTTTGATACACAGTTTTTTTTTTTTTTTTGTCTTATTTATTTTGTCTTGTATGTGTATAGCTATCTCATCAATTTGTTAGATTTTTTTTTCTATTGATTGATAAAAAATCATTACAACTAAGACCTACTAAAACTCATATTGTTACACCTACACCATATAGTCTAGAGCTACTATAACCATACATCTCCTCCCACATTATCTAAACAAATTTCATAAGAGGATGAGCAAAGCATTTTAACCATTCAAAAGTTCCTAACTTTTTTTCATAAAAAAAAAAAGTTTCAAACTTTGCTCTTATTTTGAATTCAAACATATCTTAAAATCTATGATTGTTGTCATTTTCAATGCAAATACATTAATGCATTTTTATCAACTTGCAAAACTGAACCCAAGTGTATATATGCACTAAACCGGCATTTGCATTCTTCTCAAAGGAAACATTATTAACATTTCTATATTAAAGATTTAGTTGTAAAGAATTTAGACAAATTTGTACACATATATGAACACTCAAAGTCTCGAAACATGTATTTACATGACAATCAAATAAAATTATAAAATTATAAAATATATTTTGCATGAACACCCAGGGTATATCAAGAGAGTTGCGGGTTTTGCTCCAAATGGGATTGGGAAGTCACAAAGTGAAATTTGCGGGCTTTGCTCTGATATTGAAAAGTAACGAGGTGAATTTATAACGGCACTCGAGATTTCCTATTCTCTCTAGCAGAAGATGTGACTATTACAGTCAAAAGTATGACCTCTATCGTTACGATAGACGACAACTTTGTCTGTGCAACTTTGGATTGGTGGCCTACAGGCAAGTGCAGTGCCCTTGTGCCACGGGGTAAATCTATAGTGGAAGAAACCTATGCGACGTCCAAGCTAAGAGTATCAGACCGTGACACTTGGGCTAAGGCTGGAATTCTCAATTTGGTAACCTAACCTACTTCTCTCTCTCTCAGTTTCTCATGTATTATAAACTGAAACGAAGTTATCATGATTGCAGGATTTAAATACAATTCTCGATAACGCTGTCAAGTGTAAGTAGATCACTACATGTAACTTAATCCCGTCGATGTTGCTTAAAAACCCATTCGACAGACTCGGCACTCGAGCTGGGGTTGAGTGTTGATGAGTCCAACAAGAAATGTGTATTTCTTGACGTGGGTTTGGATTAATTTTTGGGAACTACTGGTTGGTTGATTAGCTTTGTTTTCTGGTTCTGCTTGTTATATACAATTACACGTCACAAGGGGGACGAAGAGGGAAAAAAAGAATATACCAAAAAAGAATAGAAAAAAGGGATTTATATTCTTTCACATGTAGCTTATGCATACATCTAAACAAACAACTTCCTGCTTGATTAGATGATCTTGATAGATTTTCATTCTCACTATTAACACTTATGAAGTTTTACTTTGCTAGTTTATTAATTGACTAGATTAAATTTTCAGCTTTCAATTCTTTGAGGATAAGAATTGGAGGATCATTGCAAGATCAGATCTTGTACAAGGTAGGAAATGCGATTAAAGAATGTCCCAGCTTCAGCAATGATACCAAGGGGTTGTTCGGATTCAGCCAGGATTGCCTTACAATGGAAAGATGGGACCAGATCAATAGCTTCCTAGGACAGACTGGATGAATTTTTCATTCCTTAATAGCTATCTTCTTTACTTCTTTTATTTCTCTTTTGCCAGAAGTCAGAACAAGATTAGAATGTTTGTTTTCAACTTTGTTTAGAATTTTAGCTCAAGTGGCATATTATCTCACGGTTGCAGAGCTTTGTTGACATTTGGGTTGAATGCCCTCACTGGGAGGAAGAAGGTATCCGACGACAACAATCTCTACGTGGGTAACTGGAACCCAAAGAATGCTCGTGATTTAATGCGATACACCATCTCCAAGGGATGCAAGATTGATTCATGGGAACTGGGTAACTAAGATCTTAATCCGAATTTGTACAATTTGACATATTTCTCTTTTATATAATGTCATCGTCTTTTAATTTCATCAGGAAATGAGTTATGTGGAGGTGGGGTTGCTGCAAGAATACTGCCTGACCAGTATGCAAAGGACGTAAAAGTTCTCAGACGACTTATCAATAAGTTGTACAAGGATGCCACAACACGACCACAGCTACTGGCTCCAGGAGGTTTCTACTTTCTATGATGAAGAATGGTTCTCGGTCTTCCTTCAGGCTTCTGGACCTAATGTTGTCGATGGAGTAACCCACCATATTTACAACCTTGGCCCAGTTATCTCTTTCTTGTTTTCTCAACATAGTTGTCATACTACATTGAAGCAGAATGGGGTATGACTGAAGTGATAATGCAATTTTGTATCCATGGGTGAATGATTTTGGTTTTGATGGAAAATTATCTTTCTGGTATATATACAGGTAACGATCCTGCATTGCTCTCCAAGGTCCAGGATCCATATTTTCTTAGTCGGATAGCTCAGACATACAAGGACGTTTTAACAACCATCCAGCGCTTGGTCCCTGGTCATCTGCTTGGGTTGGGGAATCTGGTGGAGCATACAACAGTGGAGGCAAAGATGTATCACATACCTTCGTCAATGGCTTCTGGTGAGGACTGATTTTCCTTTTTTTCTCATTGAAATGAGACAGCAGCTTCTAGCTATGTTTTTCCATTATTACAGTGGACCAGTGAGAATTGTATGAACCTGGTGTCTCAATGGTATTGTTCACGAACAGTTACTTAGATCAGCTTGGTATGACATCAACCTTCAATCACAAGGTTTTCTGCAAACAGGCTTTGATTGGTCGAAACTATGCTCTCCTCAATACTACCTCACTTATCCCCAACCCGGATTACTATGGGTAGGTATTTCATGCAATCTACCTCTAGAGAGCTAATCCATTGATTGATTATTGAAGAAAAAAGAAAAGAATCATTTCTTCTCTTAAAGTTTTTTACCCATCATTTTATTTATTTTCTGCTACCAGTGCTCTTCTTTGGTACCGATTAATGGGAAGGAATGTTCTTTCAACAACTCACAATGGCTCCCCTTACTTGCGTGTATATTCTCATTGTTCAAAGCATCAGGTAACACTTAACCTGAACTTCAATGCAACTTCTCTAGATTTCCTTCAAAATTATTTTCTTTTGATATTTTTGGAGTTCTAACATGAAAAATTCAAATATCCATTTGTAACAGCCAGGCATAACTCTTCTTCTGATTAATATGTCCAATTCCACTTCCTTCAATGTTTCTGTGGTCAACGATTTAAACTTGTACCCACTATCTCAAAACAAGCAGAGTGCAAAGGCTCAAAGTGGACAACAGAGAGAAGAGTACCATTTGACTCCCAAAGATGGTAATATTCAGAGTGATGTTGTGCTGCTGAATGGGACGCCCTTGGTGCTCACAGAAGATTCAGATATCCCACCTTTGAATCCCATTAAGGTTGGTCCTTCTTCCCCTATCAACATTGCCCCTGATTCAGTCGTCTTTGCCACCCTTCAAGGCTTCAAGCCTCCGCCTAAGGTTAAGAGATTATTTTGGATATAGATATTAGGTTTTAGGGTTTTCTTTTATTTATTATGTGAGGCTAAGTTTTGGGGGCTGAAAAGGGAGAATGGAAGCCCCATTGAAGTAAAGTTTTCCTTTTTTATTTAAATACTAGGAAGTGTCTGTCAATGTCAAAGCATATTTTGCATTTTGCAGAGTTACATGGTTTGAAATTAGATAGTTGTATTTACAGAAAAAAAAACGAAATTAAATAGTTGAATCAAATTTCATAACAGTGAGCAAATATGAAAAGCATACACTTCAAAGAAAATAAGCATACCAGTTTTACCAAAAACAAATTTGCATCAGCCTAAGAAACAATGCACCCCAGAATCTCAAAAAGCTTTCTCAATAAACACTAGGTTTGGAAACCACTAGGTACATTGAGTTGGTTGTGAGCTTGCACTAAAAATATATATATAGAATACAATACACAAGTATAAGAGCTTATCTGCTAAAGGGATTAATGTACAAGAAAGTCATACACAAGCTGCAGCCTCAAAGTGGGGGAGTGCAACGAATGCAATGGACAAGGGAGCAACAGATATAGGAGATTCTACATCGACAAGAACAGGATCCAATGCAGGAATGTCTCCATTCTCAGTAAGCTCCAACGGAGTGCCATTTAAAACCATGGTTTGGCTTCGGATCTGCCCATCCATTGGGGTTAAACGGTATTCCTCTCTCATAGTTGTGATATCCGATGCTCTCCTTCCAACCCATGAAACTGTTCTCTTCAGACCATGAATGAAAGAGCCTTTTCTTTGAATGGTCTGCTCTCCTCTTCGTACATTGATGTTGATATCATTTTGGACCGTGATTCTAAAGTCTGTCTGGTTGCTTAAATTGATCAGGAGGAGAGTTATCCCTGCCTGCAACAAGACCCCAACTAATATAAGTATAACCAAGGGATTAAAATAATAATGGTAGTCCTCACCTTAAGTTGATTATGGACTTCCAACTATGTGCTTGAGGCAGGCTCAACAAAACCAACTAACCTAATCTAAGTTAAATTTGGTGGGGCTGGTTTAGATGCCATTATGTTTACATGTACGGATAAAATATGTAGGCATATTCGATGAATTTTTGTCTGATTCAGGGTGGGAAACTCTGTAGAGTTAGTTTTATGGTTGTCAATGGATTGGATCATGATCTAGTAAGCTTCCCTAATTCACCTAATTAGGAAACCTTTTGGTAAATATAATTAGATACTTGAACAAAACCTAGATATCCTACGGAAGTAAATGGATTAATTTGGGTCTAGGCATATCTGAGCTGACAATAGATATAATAGATAGAATCCATTTTGGGCACCTTATGTATCCAGAAAAATCATGGGCATGATGGTCCGTGGTTGGAATCAAAATCCTGGAAATCGGAATCGGATCCGGATCCATAAGATATGCACAACTCCCATGAAGGATTGGATTGGCGTCCAGTAAAGAGAAATAGGGTTTGGGGTTTTTGAGTCACTTGTCCACTTTTGCCGGCTGGAATGTGATTCTCATTCCCAGGGGGATGCCAGAATGGCCATTCCCTCAAATGGAGGAACGCTATTCTACCAAGAACGGGAATTGGAATCCCATTCTGCCCAACCGAAGTGCTGGAATTGGAATGGGCCATTCCGATTCCAGACCCCTATTCCTGCAAACCAAATGGACCCTAATTCTTGAACTTCAATGGGATTCATCACATTAGTATCCTTTTAATGAGTATAATATTGTAGGAAGTCTATGAACAGAATATGACCAGACTTACCCTTCCTTTTGAACAATGAGCATAAACACGTAAAAATGGCGATGCATCACTATCAACAGTAAGGACACTTTTCCCCATTAGCCGATGCCAGAGAAGTGCACTGTCATAACCAATCCATTCAACATTAGCAAAATGTTCAAATTTTATTGTATCATTCAAGAATGTATATAGCCTTAAATTCTCTTGCCTATAAAAGTCAGGGTTGGGAACAAATGTGGTTAAGTTGAGGAGACCGTAGTTCCCACCAATTAAAGTCTGTCTGCAGTATGCTCTTGTATTGTATTTGGATGCCATTCCAAGCTGGTCCAGGTACCTAAGTTTCATGCATATATTTGTGAGGCTAGCAGGACAGAAATATCCACTCCATCCCTAAAAATGAGATGGGAATGTATAAAGGGTGAAAAGGATATTAGAGAACAGGGTTACCAGAAGCTGTTTACAAATGTATTAGATACTAGACGGCCACCACTATTGTAGGCCCCACCAGATTCTCCAACCCATGCAGAAGCCCATGGACCATTTTTTTGTATGTTGAGCTCAAGATCTCTGAATGTTCCAGAAATCTGACTTAAATAATGAGGGTCCAATATCTTATTCACAAGATGTGGATCAACACCTGAAAAGAGAGGTCATAAATTACAGATAGTATTGGTAAGAGGTGCTTAAAGGCACAATAAACTATTGAGGCAGTACACATGTAAGGGTACACTTTTTCAGAGAAAATAAGGTGCAATTTCAATAAAAATGCTTTTTCATAGAAGATGTTTACTCTCATCCAATTGTTTCATCTAAGAGGTGGCTGAGGTGGGACAGGTTAGTCATTATGAAATAAAGCAGAATGATTTAAAAAAATTACAAACAGTAGCATCAAGTATACCTTAATATCATACAAGATAACCACAAAAAATTAAAGCATTACATAAAAACCAATAAAATATTATGCATTTATTTTGTTTTAGATATTAGAATATTAATATGGCTCTTCTTTTCAAAGCATCATTTTTGTTGATTCATTATTATCGTCTGATTAAATGAATAACTTGGTTTCTATGAACTTTGAGATTCTTTTCAATCAGAACTTTCTTCAATGCAATTTGGATCTCTAGAGAAATGGATAGAAAATTATATCATTTTTGTTTTTATAGGTTTTTTAAGATGTTTATTTAACTTGAAATTTAAAAATATGTCGAATTTTCTTTGAAAACAAACCCTAATAAACAGGATAATGCAGACCTTTAATTTAAAAAATCACTTTACACTTTGGTAGTAATTTGATAAACTTGTATACACAACAAATGGAGAAATTCGGTAAAATCTGCATCCCTATTTAAATTATTTTGATAAATGCATTCCTATTTAAAATTAAAATGAAAAATTAATAACCAAAGAATAGGAATGTTTTTGGAAGTACGTGAATACTTGCACAGATTGGAAGTGTGGACTTCTTTGACAGAACAAGTAGCATGGGTATCAACGAACAAAAAATTTTCTGCTAAATAAAGAAACTTCCATTAATGGCTAGAAAGAAAAATTAGGGTAGACCCTTTCCCCATATGTGATTATGTAAAGTCTGTTTTTCCACGAATCAATTATCTAATGGTACCAATCATATAGGTTGGAATCCATTATTAAAATAAAATCAGTGAACATTTGTTTTAAACAATTTTCTGTATATTCTATGCATAAATTTTATGTTAGATAAAATCACTCATATTGTCATACTGATTTTTATAAATAGAAGGCAGACTGTATGTTGCCTCACATACCAGGACCCAAATTGTAAATGTGATGTGTGATAACATTCACCACATCTGTCCCAGAGACCTGAAGAAGCTTGGCATACCAATCCTGATTATAAAATCCTCCTGGTGCTAAAAGCAATGGTCTTGAGTCGGATTTCTTGTATAACTTATTGATGATAGCTTTAAGGTTGATCAGATCTTTCCCATACTGCTCAGCATTTACACTTGCACCAACCCCACTTCCACTCAATTCGTTTCCTGGTAGAGAGTAAACATGGAGTAGAGGTGAGGGAAAATAGGATGAGAAGGAAACTTAAAAGGTTTCACTTATAAATCATACACTACCAAATTCCCATGAATCAATTTCATATCCTTTGGAAATGGTGTATTCTATAAAATCTTGAGCATTAATGGAGTCCCAAGCACCTCCCCAAACACCCTTTCTGATTTGGTGTCTTCCATAAAGTGCATTCAGACCAAATGTCATAATTGCTCTGCAACCATGGATTTTTAGATTCCATTAAAGCATTGAGTAGAATCATGAGGATGGGAAGCTCTCCTGTAAAAGCATTAAAAGCCCAAACAGCTGATGGTAGAACTTAAGTTCATACTTGATTAATCAATAAAAGGAGATCTGCATTTTGTTTAACCTTTCCTGAGTTTGACTAGAAACCAGAATAACAAAAATATACAGTATAACAAATACTGCTCTGTTGACAAAAAGATCTTCAAAGAACAGCTCTCATAAAACAACTATAAGAGATTCCAAAAGAAACAAGACAGAAGATCCAATGGCCTAGATTCTGAAAAAAGAAAAAGGAAGGGGTATTGCAGATTTATATTATTTCATTATACTGGGTCTGAGATCTTTGATGTAAAGCACCTTCTCAATAAGGTGGTCATCACACAGAATATACAGCTCTGACCATAGCCTGCAGAGCCAGGTCTATTTGTATCACATCCCTTCCAAGAAACGGTTTTTTTTTTCCAAGGTCTAGCATTTCTGCTGCTCTTGTAAATGGAGGAAAGCCCCTGTACTAGAAATCTGATTAAGTTGGAATACATCTTATGGCACCAAAGTTTCAAAAAGAATGTTTGTAGACTTCAAAAGGGTTTAGATTTTTCAAGTATCTACTAGGTCACCAGTTTCAGCTGACTAATATAGCCTTGCAAGCATTGGAAAAAAAAACAGATGTAGTTTCCTACTTTAGCCACAAACAAAAATAGTAGGATCAACTATCGGTTGCAAACCGTAAGAAATCAATGAAAAAAATACTTGTTTACCTATTTCTTAAGAAGCGAAGTGTTTACTTCCAGCTTATGAATGAACTTAGAAGACATAACAATTAAACGGAAAAGAAATTAATATGCAAATGCAAATCCTTACCCTGTTTTATTGAATAAATGGTTGATTTCATCCCACCTATCCATGTTCAAGCAACCCATTGAAAATCCAAACAGCCCATCTGATTTCTTTTGAAATGGTTGACAAGGAGAATTCAAACTCCCTACATTATACACAACTTGGTCCTGCAAAGAACCTCCAATTCTTATTCTCAGAGGATTGAAAGCTGCACACCATAAATACGAATTGGAAGAGTATTAGGTGTCTAAAACTGTCCTGAAGAACTAAATACACCATAAATATCATGAAAAGCCACAGACAAGTAATTGATGATGCTAACCCAATAATCATAACCACAAACCTTGAATGGCGTTAGCAAGAGAAGGATGGGACAAGTCCTGGAAAGAAAAACAGCAAATAAACTATTATTAGCTGGAATATTAGACAGATGTCTTGGTCTTACTGAAAGTAAATCATAACTTGAAACAGCAAAGATCTAAGTTGAACTCATACCAGATTAAGAATAGAAGACTCTCCCCATGGGCATTGGTTGTAGTTGCACTTATCATGAGGCCACCAATCAATAGTAGCACAGATGAAATTATGGTCTGTTTCAGCTATAATTGTAGACCCCTTGACTACAATTGTTGCATCTGCAGTCTCTTGAGCCAAAATCCCCGGAAGAGAGGCAAGAAAGAGCAAGACAAAGAGCTGGAAAGCCATTCTAAGATCACTACAACAGTTCCAGCTACGATGCGACCAAATTAAATGAACTGCAACCAAAAGAAAAATGACTAACAAATGAAATGGCTGATCTTAACATCTGATACACACCATCCTCCGTTTCTACCGACAGAAGTAAATGTTATGCAATTTGAACTTGCGAATAGATAGAAAATTGAGTGTATAGAACCCGAATTCTCTTCCTTACGACCAGATCACCGTATTAACCAGTCAAGAACAGAGAAGTGGTGGCTCAAGAAGCAATAAAAGCTGAAAGAGAAGAGCGGAAAATGAAGGCATTTTTGCACCAAAAACCTTAAGCGTATCGTTAATAAAAGAAATGGATCTTGAAATTTGATCTATAAGCAATTCAGAACGACAGAAATTATGTCCGGTGTCGGTGCCTCTACTAATAAAATATGTAAACTTTCATCTGGGTAGTAGTAAAATCAAAGCAGCAGTGTTATAAATTGGAACGCTTGGTGAATGAACAAAACAAAAAAAATAAAGTCATAGCCCGGGATAAGAGATTGAGCTCTATACAAATCAAAAGAAGAGAAATTGTATCTTAAACTTATAGTTGTATTCGATAGCAACAAATCTCTCGCCTAACTCAGAGCTCCCAACAAAGGATAGTAACTTTCAAAGAAACTCAAGTGGAAAAAACCAACCTTCATTGAGTCATTGACCATACTTCAGCACTACTAGCGTCGGGAGATCACATCACATCGAACCTGGGACTGGTCCTTCTGATTTTCTGAAGGACAACAGAGCTTAACGATGGCATGATTCTTGCTAGAAAAAAAGGAAGTTTCTCTAGTGGGTTTGCTTTGCTTCTACTCTTTTCGTCTCCAACCATAACAATTACAACAAAGGATCAAGTCAGGTCAGGTGAAAAGCAACAAGCAAGTCGTTGTCAGATTCATCGTGTCGGCATGAGTTCCTTAGCTCTTTGGCACCGAACGGTAAGCTCTTTTTTATAGAAATATTCGTCGATACTACTATACCCCAGAAAGACTTTCAGAAACCAAGCGTGGTACATTTGGTGCAGTAGGTAGAGAGAGAGAGATTGTTTTCTTTGCCTTGGAAGATTCCCACCTTTTTAGAAAACAGGGGTTGATGCCTGCACTGTATTTTCTATCCTCAGTAGGCCAAGAATTAATAATTTAATTAAATTACATAGATGTTTTTTTTGGTGGTCTAAAGGCTCTAAACTTTTTATGGGTATACCATTGGTATTGGGAGATGAAGAGGATCAGGACATGTTTGTAATTTCTTATCATTTAAAGATATATATTGAAATTCATTGTTTACCAAACTCTTTAGACTTGAGAGTTAGGTATTCTTGCTTGAATCCATGAACCCTCCTGTCACTTCCATACTTTTTTTCTTCTCATTTATTCTTACGAAGGTTAAAAATATCGATGTCTTGGTATGGGCGTATTGGGTAAATCGATATTATTTTTTTTAATTTTTTTATTTTTTTCTGAAATTGGTTCAAAAGGTCGGTTTAAGTCTCCTCCATCCCTTGAACTAGTCAGATTCCCGATACACCCACTATAGGAACATATCGGTGGGGTTTCGGAACAATACGTATCAGCCATTACGGGCCAATACATATCGATACTTTAAACCTTGATTCCTACTACTAGTACTACAATAATAAAGTATTTTTGTCCATTAGTTAGAACTTGGTGTATATGAAATTTATTTTAATGTTTTTTCATATTTGGAAGAAAATGGCATGCTTTGATTATCATAGAGGTGGACCAACTCCTTATACCACATTTACACTATTTGTCATGTTATATTTTATTGATTTATTCAAAGATAGAGAAAAAAAAATCAATGTATTAAAAACCAGGTACAGGGGTCATTCAGGATGGGGTACTGGGTAGGGTGAGCATGGGTCAAATGGTCAATTCAATTTTGATTAATCAAAATTGAGATTTGAGAAGCAGCCCAAGCTCATTTCAGGGATACCATGGTGCCTATACCATGTATAGCACATGGTTAGAGAAGCCAATTAAACCAGAGCAGTCGACCAACTTGGGAAAACCAGAAATTTTTGTATATGCTTGATTATTAGATGAGGTTAGTGATCTTGCCATTGTCTCAGTTTAATCACTTGATCAGATTAACATAACGCCCGGCTTGGAAACTCCACTACCTGATCAACCAAGACATCGCCATGGTTTTCAAACCGCCATTGATTCGAATGGTTGGACTATTTGGCCCGGGAATTGTTCAAACAATCGGTTTCATTTTACTCCAAACCTGATCTTTAACCATAATGTTGAATCAGTCAATAATTCATTGACCTACAACTGATCCATCAACCTATTTAATAGTTTTTTACCGTTTTTTATTTTTAATTATTTTTATTTTTTTTATCAGAATAAACCATCCATTTGAATCAAGCAATTGAATCATCAACCCAAAAACCGATGACCAAAACGATTTCATTTCTAGGTCAGTTTTTAAAACCATGATCGCCATTCTACTGTTTCTATGTATATGTTGACTTGTAAATTTTGAGCCGATTCTGCTCAACGCCGAAAACCTGCCATAAATAGTTCCTTATATCAATTATCACTTATCAGATGGCTCATGGTAAGTTCAATTATCTGACGACTAACACTTACGTTGACGAACCGTGACCCAAACCTCTTCAAGGACAGCCTATAACATAAAGCATAAGACAGATTTGAGCAACGTTAACGTACAATTGCACTAGCCAAATAAACTGATACAATGAACAATGTAAAAACCAACCTAAGTTTAGAGCCCGGATCTCTTAAAATCAAAGTTTGTGCATTCAGCCGCACATCAGGAATATCTTCTGCATTTAAGATCTTTCGTATGGGTCAATTAAATTACAAAAATAATCACCTGAATTTTTTTTTTATTTTCTTTTCTTCACCCTTTTCTCTTAAACTCTAATTGACCCAAAAATACATCTATTTTCTCTAAACATAATATGTTAATTACCAAAATACCTACTTAAACTTTTCTTATTTTTTCTCTCTTTTTTCTTATACCCTATTTAACCTAAAAATACCTCCATTTTCTCCAAACAAAACCAACTAAAATAATAAGAATCATTCTACTAATATATAAAAAAAAAATCTTTAAATTTTGATAATATCCCTTCATCTTAAAATATAAAAACTATGCACCCTTTCCTTCAATAAACTAAAAAAAAAAAAAAACAAATGAAACCCTAAATTTATATCTATCAGAAACAAACCTCTACCATTTCATTTGGATATTGAATCCAGTCAAAAATCTGCAAGGATCTATAGGAACCACTGAGAGGATCTCAATATTATATTTACAAAACAAATCCAATCATAAATCATTCAAATGAATAACAAAAGTGTAATTTGAAATTTTAAAATAAAAAATTAAACAACTCAATGAGAATCCAGAGGGCAATTTTCATGGACCCCATAGTAGAGGGGGTCTTTGTAATTTACCCTATGTTTAAATTGATGGGCTTAACGTGGGGAGATGTTCCTGACGTGAAGCTAGATGTTTGTCTTTTAAAAATCTATCTCACGAAGGTTTAAAATATAACTTGCACGACACGAAAATGAATTGTGTTGTGTGTTGTGTATTTCGAACAATGGATACTAATTTTTTTTTTCTTTTGTTTTGCCAGCCTAATAATTGACAATTTGGCTAATGAGGATGACTTCTAACATCTGAAACATTCAAAACCCCCAAACCGAGTATTTCATGTATGCGCACAATACAATGTGATACATATAAATACTCTCACCAAGTTTCCCAACTTTTCATTGATGAACTCTCAGCGCTTGTTCCATTAATCATACGAGGCCAAGGCACACTACCATCTCTACTGCGACTTCTATAGCATCAACTTACCTAGATAAAATTCCATGAAATGTTACTCATTGAAAAAAGATACCTACCATGAATAAGTAGAAACTATTTTCTTTCTTTTCGTTTTCCAACTTTGGACTGGACAGAGGAACTCTCAGGATTTTAAGTGCTATGAGAACAAAATATTATCAAGTGGATGCCTGGAATTGTGCTTTCTTTATACAACGCTCGAGTGTGAGAGAAGAAACACTTTGAAGTCACAATCAGACGGTTTGTGAAAATGCTTTCTCATCTTCTGCTTCTGGCATGTCTAAATCAGAAGATAGTTTCCTGAAGACTAGCTTTTGTTGGGGAAGCTGGCCATTTGAAAATGCTGTTACCTCTGTATCTATTAAGATTGTGTCTTCATCCTTGAATTCTCCTCTCAAAATACCCTTGGCAAGCTCATTTTCAACATTCTGTTGGATCACTCGCTTGACTGGTCTGGCACCATAGTTAGGATCATACCCAAGATTCCCTAACAACTGAACTGCTGCATCAGTTACCTGAATTTTCATCTTCCTATCACCAATTCTCTTCTGCACTCGTTCCAACTGGAATGCCAAAGTGAGGTTAGACAATAGCATATTTACAGTAAAGCATATTAACACAAAAGATGAACTGAAATTTTGAAAGACCAAGAATGAATTGGATAATAGTGTGGCAATGGGATGTGTCTGAGCTTCCGATTAGACTGGCAGAATGATAATCTAGGAGATGCAATGAACCACTAATATTATCATCAATAGCAGCATGGAATTTCTTCCAATAACAACAAGGAATATAAACCCCAGATCAAATAGATAAGACATGTTTTCCACCAGAGTATTCCTTCATTTCCTTGTTATTAGAAATCCCTACCCCAATTAGATCATTCAATCTGACTCACATAATGGTCAATTCCAAAATGAGACGAGATGATCTTCACTCAAAAAAGGTATTGTATGATTACAAAATTTAAATGTTTTTCACAATTACATTTCTCCAGAAAACATTACCTATCTATAATTTATTTGGAGACATTTTCCACTATAAAATTATTTGTACAGACTAATTATAATACTAAAGAGCACGAATCTGGGTTAAAAAAAAAATAAAAAAATTCAACTCCAGAGAACATTGAAAGTGTTGTTCAGCTAAAGAGAACTTCAGATAGAAAGGTAACAACCAAGTTATAATACTAGTTATAATATTAAAGAGCATGAATAACCCAAACATGCTTTAGCACCAATTTGGAAAAGGGAGGAGAAAAAAAAGTTTTGAAGAGACTCAAATAACACTGAAGGCTCTATCCTTAGTTAATTATTATATCCTCTCAAAAGTTGATAAGGTCAGGAGATGGTCGTTGGTAATTACTACCTAAGAACCACAAACTGCCAGTTAATGCTGCTACAGTCATCAAATAGTAAGTATGATATTCTTTGCAATTGTCAATAAAAGAACAACCTCAAGTGACTTGGATGATCATTAGCTAGAGAACGAGATATTTTAGCACTACTTTGAAGATCAAAACATTCCGTTAGAGGTAAAGGATTAAGTTCCACAGTGATTGATGTTGGAAGGTAGTAATTCGACAATTGGCGTTGCAGACTCTTTGATGGGAAATGTGCTTGATGGGCGTAGAACTTTATGTAGTGGATGGAGGATTGCTTCAAGGAAGATCAGATGGCTAGGTTGTTTCTTTCAGGTGATTTAGCGGTTTAAATTTCAAATATATGATGTATTGCTGGGGTTTATCTGGGCCCGGGTTGGGTATTTTTCTGTCTTGTTTTGGTGGAAGCTATTGTTGGAAGGTAGGAAGTCTCAAAGGGGTGGTAAGGTTTTGGGGTCCCTTTTTTCTGTAAGTTGGGTGATTTCTTATCACCTCTCTTGTAATCTCTTTCTTTGCTTTCTTAATAAATTTTCCTTTTCATTTATTACCAAAAAAAAGGATTAGCTTCCACCAGTGACTCTCATTTACATGAATCCCTAAACCAGCCAACTCCATAGGGCATAGTGGATAGTAAAGCCAACAAAGGTTGGGGATTTAGTTGTTATTAGATACCTCTATCAATGTGTAGAAGCTCCATTTCCTTGGCCATATCTTATATCTTGGTTTTGCATGCCCCTTTCAAGGATGGGTTCAGCTCCCCCCCCCCCAACCCACCCTAAAACCCCCAACAACAACAAAAAAAACACTCCAGATCTGTTGGTTACCTTATTAACAGTAACAATTGCTAGATGTCAAATAGAAACTCACCTTAAGTGTGTAAGTACATACTGCATACTGCATTTGTGCAGTAAACTGTACTTACTCGAAGGTGAGTTTCTATTGGAAACCCCATCAATAGGTAACCAGCAGATACCAATGCCCAAGAAGGACCTTCAGCTTCTACCCTCCTGTTTCTTTCTTATGCTTGTATTGATGGCAAAAAAGAAGAAAGAAAACAAAACAAAAAATATATCCAACAAGGAAAAACATCAATTTGGCATGCCTTACCTGTAATCTCACTATACTGTTTATTTGATCGCGGTCCAAGGGCTGGAAAACTATATACTCGTCAACTCGATTCATGAACTCAGGACGAAATATCGCTCTTGCAGCATCCATTACCTTCTGCTTAATAGTTTCATAAGCTGAACTGTTTGACAAGTTCTCATTATCTGTGTTGAGTATGTACTGCGACCCCACATTTGAAGTCATAATGATGACAGTATTGGTGAAGCTCACAGTGCGGCCCTGTGAGTCTGTGACCCTTCCATCATCAAGAATTTGAAGAAACACATTGAAAACATCAGAATGAGCCTTTTCAATCTCATCAAACAAAATAACAGCATATGGCCTCCTCCGAACTGTCTCTGTCAGCTGTCCACCTTCCTCATACCCAACATAACCAGGTGGAGCCCCTATCAATCTTGAAACGGCATGCTTCTCCATGTATTCACTCATATCAATCCGCACAAGAGCTTCTTCAGTGTTGAACATGTAGGAAGCAAGGGCCTTAGCTAGTTCTGTCTTGCCAACACCAGTGGGACCCATAAACATGAAACTAGCAATTGGACGGTGAGGGTCAGAGAGACCTGCACGAGACCGTTGGATGGCCTCAGCCACTGATCTTACTGCTGGGTCTTGACCCACAACACGTTTGTGTAGCTCTTCTTCTAAGTGCAATAACTTCTCTCTCTCAGATTGTTGCAACTTCGATACTGGGATACCAGTCCATTTGCTCACTATTTCAGCAATGTCATTCCCTGTCACTTCTTCTCTTAGCATTGACTTCCCAGAATTCATGTATTCATTCAACTCTTTTTCTGCAGTTTCAAGCTGGCGCTGCAAAGTGTTGAGACTGCCATACTTCAGTTCAGCAGCCCGATTAAGATCATATTCCCGCTCTGCCTGTTGAATCTCAAGATTTACCCGGTCAATCTGCATTAAGAGAATAGGAATCAATTAGAATGACGAGTTTAACATTCAAATTGAGTGAAATAACAATTTATATAAAGTTATCAATTGATCATGTTTAGAAACTTGGCAATTGGTTGAACTATTTTTTTCCAACTAGGGAAAAAGAAAAGTGCAAACATCTGAAGTTTTTCATTTTCCATCATGTAATATACATTGAAAAGAAGTTTTATCATGAAAAATTAGGAAGACATTCAAAGTTGCTCAATATAACGCTAGTAAGAAAATCTACAAAAGATGAAACAGATCTTAAACTTGCCAAATTCTTCCATGTACTTTCGTAGTTACTTAAAATTTTCTACTGACTAGGAACATTTTTTTTAAATGAAAGACTTTATTAATTATGAAAAAAAAATGTTATGTACCCCTTTATTTCCCAAATATGTAAAATATAAGATAGTGTTTTCATACTGATAAACTTTAAAACAAAAACAACTGAGTTATATCTACCTCCTCCTTTATAGATTGAATGCGTGTCATGACTGATTTTTCATGTTCCCATTGCTCAGTAAGCTCTGCTTGCTTTTCCTTCAGGAGGGAGAGTTCTGCCTCAAGGCGACTCAACCTATCCTTTGAAGCCTTGTCTGTGTCATTAGTGAGAGAAAGGCGCTCCATCTCCAACTTCAACACTGAACGGTTGATCTCATCGAGAGCAGTTGGTTTTGAAGTTATTTCCATTTTCAGTTTTGCAGCTGCCTCATCAACTAGGTCAATAGCTGACAAGCAATTAATGCATTAGCACTTTTAACCTCTCAAAGCAACTAGAAATGCTAACAACACCCAGCTAATCGTAACTCTTTTACATTTCTTACAAATGTACTGTACATGAATATTGCATGTGGAATCCGTATGTAGTGACAGCTGGGGACCAACTTAAAACAACTGTTCCAAATGCATGGTATATGATACATTTGCAACGCATACAAGAAAACAATTTTGTATACTTGACATTGGCCTTTCAAATATGCAACAAAAGAACCAGATAGTGCACATATAAATTCTATTTCCCTTAAAATGTAAGTGAAGAGTATAAACAGGCAAAATAAGGAAGCAACAACAAAAAATGCATGTTGCATATCAATGGTGGGAAAATCCAATAGGACAATGTTTGGCACCACATTGTTCATCTATCACATGCATTCTCATACTGTTGCTTGCATAAATTTGACAATATAGGTCTAATTTCCCAACTATTACTTATAATGTTTTATAACATTGTCATGTATTGCAGCTAATTTTATGTACTAGTTAGGTTGCTTATATGTATCATACAAACAAGTCAGAATATATGAAAAAGTGAAAAGGAGAATGGATAACATGGTTCAGGTCCTCCAACATCAACTTGACAGAATGAACCCAATAAAAAGCGCTTAAACAAAAATCAGTGCATTTGACTACACTATACAATTCAGTTCTATGCATTCGATTATACTATACAATCCATCTCTATGCACCCTAGCCTTTGTTAGACAATCAGCAACTAAAAAATTAAATAAACAAATCAATAAAAAGAAAAATATAACAAAAACTTAATTTTTACTTTAAATTAATCCTGTAGACCCGCCTTGATTTAATTTATGAAACACATTTCTTGACACAAGGCATTTCAAGGTGTGAATCATGTGCCCTTCTACTTCTAGCACAAGCTTCAGAATGTTTTCCTCAAACCAAGGTGAGTCACACACCTTTTAAGTTTTAACACACTCAACCCAACAAAGCCTCATCCTAACAATTTGTGGTTCGCCATACTAAACTTATTTCACTTAACTAACAAGGGTTCTTTCCCTAAACACAACTAAACCTTATCACTATGGATTGGCTACATGAATCCCATTCCATCATTCTGCTCCTCTCGGTGTCACATCTTCTATTAATTCATCAATCTCACATCTTTTTCTGACTACAACCATGTCAGCTCAGCCATAATCTCTATTAGGACCCTGAATGTGCATCAAATCACTTGTCACTGGTGCAGTGGGTAGTTCTCTAGACATGATAGAACCATCTTGATAGACTTTTATTTTTTAACAATAATATTAATCAAAGATTTTATTAATGTTATGGAAGATCAAAATAGAGAAAATCTCAGGCCTACAAAAAAGATTAAAAGGTCGGAAACACAGGAATGTGATTAGCAAATAATCACAAAAATAAAATAGAATAGAATAGAATAATGACACAGCCCTGTAGTTGAAGTCCCAGACCTTATATCCCCCAAACTAGCTCAGATCTGCCCACAATCTCCCAAGATGGTGCAGCAATGTCATTGGATATCTGGGAATCCATGTTAACAAGCTGTTCAGCCTAGTTGCCAAGTCCTTTTCTTCTCTAATGAAGTGTCTCATGATCCACAGGCCTTCTATTTTAGCCATCAATCAATCTAATAGAAATCTCCTTCTACAGACAGGCTTTCCCACCTGGAAGAATATACTATTTCAGCTTACTCTGATCTTTCATAATCTAGTCGTTAATTTTGCCTTCCAGAAACAGAATATAGGGATAGAGCAAATGGAATCTAGACAGTTATTTCAGTAGATCATATCTGGAAAAGCCATTGTACAGCCCAATAGGAATATTACTAGCCACATCTATCATGTCCTCTTGGAAAAATTAGAAACCAATAGAACCTAGAAAGTAATGCTGGAATGTCTGCAAACCAGAAGGTAACAAAATCAGAACTCCATGAGGTTAGTGATCTCCTTTGTAGTCAAGTCACCAGCCCAGTCTCCCCACATTTCCACTGGGCAGTGCTGCTTGTTTTTTTTTTTTAATTTTTAATATAGTTATCAGACATCAAGAAACAGAACACAAGTTAACATAAACAAGAAAATAATGGGGAAAGAAAATAGGAGATGATGTTTCATTTATAGCTAGAACGTTTTTAAGCTTATGGCCTAATTAGGGCAAATTGGCCATAGCCATCTTTCCTTTTTCTTTGCTGTTATTTATTGAATAATACCGAATTTCATAGTACTTGTCAAATTAATTACCTTTGTCAGGCAAAAAGCGCCCACTGATGTATCGATCTGAAAGAATAGCTGCCTCCACCAGTGCACTATCAGAGATTCGAACCCCATGGTGCAACTCATACCTTTCACGCAATCCCCGTAGTATAGAGATTGTATCTTCCACAGTGGGTTGATCAACATAAACTTGCTGGAAGCGACGCTCCAAGGCTGGATCTTTCTCAATATATTTACGGTATTCATCCAGTGTTGTTGCACCAATACAACGCAACTCTCCACGACCGAGCATAGGCTTCAAAAGATTACCCGCATCCATGGCACCATTAGTAGCACCTGACAGAAACCAAAATACATCAGGTTGATATTGCCTATCTTCTCAGGACCAATTGGATTTGGAAATTCTTTGAAGGCTGGACTGTTGGCTTTATTGCAAGGCTCAGGTTAGCTAAGCAGTTGGGATTTAAGATGATTGAGGTGGAAGGAGACTCCCAAGTAATCATATCCTAAATACAATAGGCGTATTCCTTGGTCCCTTCAATATGTACCAAGGGAAGTGGAAACCATTGCAAAAGAAATAGTGGTTGAATTTAAATGGGTTAGAAGGTGTGCAAATGGTTTAAATGACTCTCTAGCTAAACAAGGGGTTATGAGGCAACAACTGTTTGGGGCACCCATGTAATTTGGATTAGCAAAGTGGGATTAGCACTCTGATTAAAAAGCTGTACTAATCATTTCTTCATTCCAAATTTTAATTAAATTACTTTTCTACTGATCAAAAAACAAACTTGCCAACCCAACATAGTCAAGAGACACAATGCCTGGCATGCATAAAACACACATGAACAAGTATATCTGAAAAGTTCAATTGGATATTCAGGTCAGAAACATGTCTCCTGAATGTGAACTGATTACTAACTTGTAGACTTTGTTTATAGCAAGGCCTTGGTAACGACTAACGAGCATCTAAAAGCATTGAAAATTAAACATGTAAACATTACCTGCCCCAACAACTGTGTGGATCTCATCAATGAAAAGGATTGTCTGTCCCTCAGATTCAGTTACTTCCTTGAGCACAGCCTTCAATCTATCCTCAAATTCCCCCCGGAACTTTGCTCCAGCAATAAGTGCACCCATGTCAAGAGAAATCAACTGAGAACAGAAAAAAGGATAATGTCAATTTACACCACAAAAAAACCAAGTTTTCTCCAAAATAGCTCATAACCAAAGCCTCTTGACAAAGTGTGCACCTTGCGATTCATCAAAGCTTGAGGCACATCACCTTGCACTATTCTTTGTGCTAACCTGTCAAAACGAAAGCAAAGGTTAACTAAGCATCTTCTATGAATAAAGATCCTCATGATACTTGAGCAAAAATAAGATTGGAAAGATTCCAGTTGGATTAGCCAGATCACAGCAGGGTCAAGCATCAAAATATTGAGATTAAGAAATTATTTTTTGAAGGATAACATGAATTTTATCAAGTAGAAAAGAATCAGTTAGTTACATATAATACACAATATGTCATAGCACCCTTTTAGTGAGACTGGCAAGTGCCACGTCTCCCTTGCCTTAGAGGGCTAGAGCTTGAAAACCAAACTAGGGACTTCAAGCCCTAGATTAAGATCTGAAGTCAAGTCAATATATCTTAACCCATCTGAATTTGCACTTCAAAGGCATTGCCTTCTTTAAGTATAAAAACAAAAATAGGCACTTACCCTTCAGAAATTGCAGTTTTTCCAACCCCTGGCTCACCAATTAGTACAGGATTATTCTTTGTTCTCCTCGATAGAATCTGTATGCATCTCCGTATTTCATCATCTCTTCCTATAACTGGATCAAGTTTTCCTGCCTTTGCCATAGCTGTTAAGTCCTTCCCATACTTCTCTAGTGATTCATACTTCCCCTCAGGATCTGTCACAATGCAATACATAGAGGCGTCAAAGCTTGCCAAATGCCTGCCTGTCCTAAACCAAATGTTCCAAATATTTGAAGTATGGTCACAAAATATAAAATGGTAATGTGTTGAAGCATAGGAGTTCAAGGTCTTCAAACTATTTTGGATCATCTTATAGATAATGGTTTTGCATTAGATCTGCTTCCCAACAAAAGGTTCTTATTTTAGACAGGTGGAACTTTGACCAAGAATGAGAGAGGAGTAGGTGTATTTCCAATTTTCCATTAAGAACCATGAAGAAAGTTGGACAGGGGAGAAATGGCCTTTTCATTGAGCATTGGCAGAACTCTGACCAAAAAAATTTACACTACTAAATATGCGCATCAGCATTGGAGGATGAAAGAAGCCTCCCTCCATATTAGCACCATAATGACATAGCATTGGTGCATGAATGGCTTCAATTCTCCTTTTTATGTCTCATATTGAATATCCCCCAGGCTCAGAGTTACACAATTGGCCAAAACCTAATAAATGCTTATCCCATGTGGTCAAAGCAAGAAGTCTAAAGAATGGCACAAGACAAAAGAGAAGGGGATAGCAAGGTGCCAACCAGCTGGTTGGTAAGGTCTCCTGCTGGTGGTAGTGGTCCTAGCGGAGACTTGGGATCAAATCCCACCTGCACCTGGATTGGGGGGGTATGGGTTGGGGGATGGCCTACCCCCCGTTGTGTAGCCCTTCAGAATGTATCAAAAGAAAGAGAGAAAAGGGGATAGAAACTAAGATGGTTAGGATCGGATTCTTAGGTGGGATACTTCTTCATTGTAACTTTTACCTTGTTTATGCAGGTATTCTTCTTCTATTCAAAGTCTTTTCCTTCAAACTATATAGAACTAAAATGGTAGATATAACATCATCATGGAAAGTCAAAAATAGAAGCCATTCTCACCTTGATCAATAACCGACTGGCGTCCCCTTATAGCCTGTATAGCAGATTTTAAGGCCTTCACAGAAATTTGAAAATCTTTGTATAATTGTTTCCCAAAACGGTTATCTTGTGCGAAACCAAGGACTAAATGTTCAACTGACACAAAGGAATCCCCATATTCTTTCTTGTACTCCCTGGATCGCTGAATCAGAGCTTCTAAGTCCCGTCCTAACATGGATCCAGCCGACTCACCAAGAACCTATTGTAGTTTCACAATTATACAAAAAGAAAACATAAAAACCCCCCGGAAAAAAAAAAAAAAAAAAAAAAAAAAAACATTTATATCAGGCTATCAGATAGAAATATTGAAATAAAGGGCACCAACAGAGGTTTTAGTTGCATAAATTAAACAAAAAAAATTACAAGTAAAATCCAACAACCCTACAATCAAAAGGGGGCATTCAAAGTAAGCATCTATTAGTTCTGGTCAGGATTGCTAAAAGCAGATCACAAGCACCCCTTACACAGTAGGGTCTCCCACACACCCCTGAAGGAGGGAGATTTCCTTGAGCAAAGGACCTTTTAAACAAATATGTTTGCATGTCAGGAGGCCCCATGATTCAAATGAGGTAGTCAATCAGGGTGAAGCACTCACCTTGGACACCTTATATCGAGTTGCAAATGTTCAAAATTCAACTCTAATGCTTCATTTCAATGAAAAACCAAGCCTTACATGCTCATACAACAAGTACAAGAATTTTTTAATACATCTGCAATCTAAGGAACCAGTTTAGTTGATCTGTCAAAATCTTAAGAGTAAAGATCAGGTGGAATCTTGACACATAAAATGGCATAGGTCCTTTATGTAAGGATCCTTACAGCTGGACCATCATCATCATTCATGCTTTATCCCAACTATATGGGGTCAGCCACATGAATCCTGTTTTGCCACTCCATTATTTCAGATAAATATTGTCTGTGTAAAGGGTATGTGCTAGTATAGATATGTTCAAGTCATGACTAAGGAAGTAATATACACAATTTAAACATATGCAATTTAAGAGCAAATGTCGCAAAACAGACAGGTGTGCAAGCCTCTAACATAGGAAATCCCATATGTACCATTAGACTAGTAACCATCCATCACCTCATGTCTTCTACCACAAAGCATTTCATGTCATCCTGGTGTTTCAAAATATGAAGCTTGAAATGGTACTTGGCAGGCCTTTTTGAGAATACACTTTAGTGGTTATTGTGCTCCTAAAGATGGGATCAAGTTTAGATATGCAACAACCACCAGAATTACTGCCTCCTTCCCCAAACCTAATTCTCAGGAGTGCATTTTGGAAGCTGAAATTTGAGTTTGCAAAAGAATCATTTTCATCTCAAACTAATTCCTGAATTAATCACCTCGTGGTGAAGAATTGATGATGAACACCATCTAAGTTTCCAAAATTCATCAATTGTTAAAAAGAAACATGAATATTCAGAGCTTCTAATTATACAAGAACCATGTCCAATGTTTGAGCGGCTTTGATTGGATGGACCCTGATTTAGAAAGTTAAGACACCAAATAAACAATAATGTATAAAGCCAAATGACGTTAACCTACCAGAAGAAAACGAGGTGCCTTTTACTGGGAATAACAGTTAGTACTGCAACTGTTCAACAAGAAGGGGTCAGGGAAACCCAAGATCATCGCATATACCTTTGGTTGCCGTTGAATGAACCTATCAGTAGCTTCTAAAAGGCGGGAGTTATCCACTCCCACCTTGGAGAAGATTCGACGAGCAAGCCCATTTTTCTGCTCCAACAGGGTCTTCATCAGATGTTCAGTCTCTACTATTTGATGCTTGTTCTCTTTTGCCACCTCTGGAGAAGAAACTATTGCTTGCCAAGCCATCTCAGTGAATTCTTGTTGAGTAATCTGTCAAGATTTCAGAAATCAAATTCAATACTCAACTAAACCAAATCCGTGCAGAGATCTATTACCACTATCATGGACAGGAGAAACAAATTCTATGTTATCATTTTTTTCTCAAAGAACTAGAGGGAAGATAATTTAGCTATGAAAGAACATTCACACCAAATGAAAAAATCAACTCGAGTAATACTAACCGAGAACCAAAAAGAAAATTAAAAAAAAAAAAAAAAAAAACAAACATAGGAATAAAAAAAAGATACTTAAATCCAATAAGAACAGAATTAAAACAGAACTATCCTATAAACATAGGAAAAAACTTGGAAACTTAAATATCAACGAGTAAAATCCATAACGAAATTAAAACAGAACTATCCTATAAAAATTCAAGGATAAATTCAAACAGAACAGAATTTACACTCTACATATACACATGCCTCTTCACTTATCACATGCGATACTAATTCATATCTGTTTCAGATACTACACACGATAGCAAAAAACTTTCAACTACATCAATTTAAAGAAAAAATGAAATCGCTAAGAAGGAAAAGTAATGAAAACGCATAGACATTAGACAATTACCCTTCCATCCCTAGAAGCTTCGCATCGAACGACGGAAGGACGCGAACTCCTCCTGAACCCGTCCAATTTTCTTGAGACGAATACATCCGTCGTCTTCAAACCTCTCGATGATTTCAAAGCTTTTAGAGCTCTAGGGTTGACATTTAAGCTCGGTGAGAATTGAGGTTGAGCAAAAACAGTTCTTCTGCTGCGACTCTTCGACAGTGATGGAAGACGAATCTGAACGCCTGGAAATGTCGACGCCATAGACGAAATCCTCTGAATGCGTATTGGTAATAGCTTGAGAGTAGTTTCGGTTTCTTTTCTTTCGCGGCGTGGGTGCTTTTTTTAGCTGTAAGTGAAGGTGAGAGTGAGAGCAGAGAAGGCCTTAGCTTGTGAAACGGGAAAAGGATGTGGTTCGATTGTTCTCGCAGATTCGCGGGGAAAATTCAGATTCAGATTAACCAAGGACAGAAACAAACAGTCCGCGAAACTAGTAGAATTTTCACGAATTAATATGGCCCACGAGCCGATAGGCGAGAATAACACTGGATAAGCATGTTGCGCAATGCGCATCATCAACTACGGTAGTCTTGTTCATATAAGTAATAAGATCGAGGTGGGGCCCTTATTCATGTGTGGATTTGCAGATCACCATTGATGGACCTGGCGCTGGCGGTGGTTTAGCAGCAGGATCTGCATTGTACGGATCAATCGTATACGTGTTCATTCGTGATTGGTTATACATGCAAGTGATAGATCCCGAATGGTGTTTCAGTTGTATGTAATCATTAACCGGTTGACCCAAAGCTTGCCCAATTATTAATCCGGAACGAAGACAAACCACATGTCCACGTAACCATAAGTCCATAACGGACGTAATCGGTTCGGTTCTATGGGGCAAATCCGATCCATTGTCCATTGACAGTGCTACCGTTGCCTTCATGAGTCCTTCAATAAACAACCCCTACTAGCAAGCATCCTATGCCAATCTACACCATCCACTAGATACAGACTCCCATACAGGACCGACCGACCCTATAAAGTCAGTAGCCATGTTTATTCATCTAAACCACATCAGCCCAAAGATTGGACCTTGAACGTGGAAGGCCAATTACTATTGTATTATCATAAATTTTAAGATTTGAATCGATTTTTACGTTACATAGTAATATTTTGTTTAGAACCTGGTTTATTTGTGATGCACTTTTATTTGTAATAGTTGTGCAAAATTCTGGTTATTTTTGTTTCCGTTTTCGTTTTTTGCATTTTAGCCAATTTTTTAAGAAAATTAGCTTTGTTCTCTTTCTAGTAGGTAAGGGTGTCAATGGACCGGTTTTGGATTGGACCCTATCCAGTCTAAAATTAATTTGGATGGATTGAATGCAACAACAAGATATATTGGATTGGACCAATTTGGTCTAAAATATTTATTAGATTGGATTGGACTTGGTCCATCCATAACAAATTTATATTAGATTGGGTTGGATTAAGTCAATAAGTGGCCCATTGATATAAGATAACAAATTTAATGGACTGAATTTGGGTTGAAACCAATCTAAATCAAAATGAATTTGAACAGATTGGACAATCCAGACATTGAATTGGACCAATCCAAATTGATTAAAAACATTCATTAGATTGGATTGAACTTGATCCATCTATAATGGACTCACATTGGACTGGATCGGATTGGACAAATCCGATCCATTTAACACCCTAATAATAGGACTACACATGGATCAATCAATTTGAATTGGATATGGGTAGGTTTATGAACAAAATGAATTGAATATTACTTTGTATGAAACTTGAACCTGCTATAATGTAATTTAGTATAGAGGAAATCTATGATATCGGAGAGACATGGTACTGGAGAGCTTTGACAATTAAAACACATTAATTTTGATGAATAGGAGGTTGTAAGGTTGAAAATCACGTTCTTATTTTGCAAAAAGAAAAATATATAAAACAATAACATAATATCGGTTACTTGAGTTATTTATTTAATAGATTTCATCGGAAAAAAAAAAGTTATCTTCTTTAAAATAAAAATATTGAAATTTTTAAAAGTAAAACCCATACAACCCATCTCTTTCTCCTGACATGGGCCCTACTGGGTCCTACATAACATTCTCTCTCTTACCATCGGCCCCATCAAGCCCCACACAACCCCCTCTCTCTCTCCCCAATTATGACACTAGATCTCAGACATTTCCTCTCTCCTCTTAACTTTAGGCCCCACTTAGGTCCCAGACAACTTTCTCTCTCTCCCCTAACAACGGGCCTGATCCCACACGACTTATCTCTCTATCTCTCATGGCAAGTCCCACATAACCACTTTGTCTCTCCCCTTCATTTTTATTCAAAAAATAGTGAAAAACATGAAAAAATGAAATTAAAAATATTTTAAGGAAGTTGTATGGGGTTATTGAAATTATTATTTTTAATTTAAATTAATTAATTGAATTAAAGAGTCATTATAACCATAAGAGAGGAAAAGTTGATGTGTTGTTACAAAAAGAAGTTACATGTGTTGTACGTGTATGTTTATCATATTATTGCTAAAAGAATATATTTGAATTATTATAAAGTGATTTTCAAATTTCAAATATGAAAAATAATACACAAAAAATAACGACTCAATTCTCCACCAATTTATAAACCAACTTTAACTTATAATCAAACAACTAAGATAATAAGCTAATCACCAGGATGGGGACCACACTAAATTGAACCAAAGAATTAAGATTGAAATTGTGGAAGTTTACTCAATGTGATAACTCATAATCCGACATGCTTTATATGGTTAGATGAAAAAAAATATGATTGAAAATATAAATAGCCCAATGAGTGTTCATAGAAAACAATCACCCAATGTAATCAACTTTAAAGTTCATCAAATACTAAGGCCAAGTTTGGGAGTGCTTAATAATAAGCACTTATTTTGGGTCGGGGCCACACCATTAAGCACTTATTGGCGTTTCAAAAACTAAGTTCAAAATAAGTGCTTATTAAAGAAGCCTAAAATTTCAACATTTTTTAAGTGCTTATTCTTATTCAAAATCTTAATTCCAAAATTGTCCGCTGTTAGATTTCAAAATGCCACTTATGCACTTCAATCATCTAAAAACATAGGGTTAGGCTCTTCGACACTTTCTTTTCCATCGTCTTCTCCAACTAGTGGCAGAACTGCAACTCAACCAATTAACCAAGTAAGGTATCCTCTCTTTTCTTTTCTTTTCTTCATTTTTTTCGTCCTTGAATGTTCAACTTGATTGGTTTCATTAGTTTCATTGTGACTTATATCATCAACTAAGCTACAAAGGTTTAACAGTGGAGATGGAGATAAGCAACATTACCTTGGCTTCTATAAACCAATAAAAAGCTCGACTTTCTCTTGGCTGAAGCCGAACCATTTGAGATAATATATAAAGTCTGACAATGGAGTCAATAATCCATGATTTATTGGGTATTGTCCTGCAAATCAAAAACACATAAACATTACGCAAGGATAGATACTGATATGAGGATGTATAGAGCAAAGAAAGGAATGAGGGAGATGAATGACAAACAAAGTTGTTCTTTTTCACCTTCGTTATTGTTAAGCAATTATTCAATAAGCACTTGTTTTTAAAATAAGCACTCCCAAATTTTGCCTAAAACAATAAAGATTGGTGTAGAGAACACGTAGAAGTTCTAAGTTTAGGGTTTCCAAGGTGTTATTATCAAATGAATATATTTTTAGGACCATTGAACTAAATTGGCTTAAAATCGAAGAATTGCTAGAGCATCTTTTTGTTCTATCATGCCTACATCAACAACTTGAAGTCTATCATTGAATCAACAAATCATAATCCTCAGTTGTGATATCTAACTTGTGTTCTGAACAAAACGCCATCCTCCAATCCCTCCTAAAACAATACAGAAATCCAAAGAAATTGTTAAGAAATTGATATTCCTTACTAACACCCTAAAAAATGCCATAAGAAAACCATTATTTTGTTATCCAATAATTTGATAATTTATAGTTATGCTAATTCCAATAATTACTATTATTTAAAATAATTTTCAACGATTTTCTTATTAGAAATTACTGAAAATTATTTAAAATTGGTTGTTCAAAACAATTATCAATAACTATTTTTTATTCAATAGTTTCGTAGTTTCATAATTATGTTAATTTCAGTACTTTTCTCATTAAAAATGACAATTTTATTGATAATTAAATAATAATAACACTATTTTCAACACTGAAATTATCACTTTATTATTTTCAATTTTTTTTATTTATCTATTTTAATTAAGGGTAATTATCAGAAATCAGTAATAATAACAAGAATTATTGAATTATAATAATTGTTATTAAATAATAACAATAATTACAATGATTTAAAAAATTATAGTTACACAATAATAACAATTATAATTGTCCCATAGAAATTATTGATAATTTCAACTTTATTAGAAATTATTGATAATTCAAAAAATGATAACAGTAATTTTTACATTAACTTTTGTTATTCAATAGTTTTGTTAAAATCAATTTTTTATTCAATGGCTTGTTATTTCAAAATTTTGATAATAATAGAAATGATTTCAAAATTATTGAGGTTATTAATAGTCAAATTTATAGATAATTATTTTTAATAATGACTAATAAATTGATAATAACAACTAATGAAATTACCATCATTATGAAATTATCAAATTATTGAACAACAAAATAATTATCAATAATTATTATTGAATTATCAATATTTTCAATAGATTTTTGTAATAATTGTAAAACCATTTTAAAAATTATTAATAATAATATTATTAACCTCAATAATTTTGAAATAAAAAACAATTTCAAAATTATCAAATTATATCCTAGCATTTCTTTTACATCATAATCTCCATAGTACTGCCCCATGTATACATTGCCATGAAATCTTTTGCCTTCATGTAGAGTCACCAAATACATATGTTTTAAAGTCTACCTGAAGTAGAGGTGGGTTCTCACTTCTTTGCACGTCTAACATGGCTTCTGCTAGCTGTAGAAGCAAATTGATAGAAATCATGTAGACTTTTGCTATCCACGTATTTGTGTTTTTGGGACACCTATCTTCTATTAGATGTAGGGGCAACATGGAAGGATGAGAGTTTGTTGGCCAATCCATTTATATTAAAAGGGATAAATTTGGTAACAAAAATCAGAGTGTTTGACCAAAGAAAATGATCATTCTCATTTTTATAAATGGTGGTAATCATGGTTTTAAAAAATGACCCAGAAATGGAACCATTCTGGCCACCAGTTTCTGGGTTGATGGTTTGACCGTCCTGTTTGAACGGATGACCCATCATGACAAAAAAATAAAAATAAAATGCTGATAGACGGTTTGACCACCTGGGACAATAGATTGTTGATTGGTTCGACGGTTTTTGGCCAGGGACCAGGTTTGGGGTCAAACGGAACCGATTGCCCGAAC